AGAAAGCATGAAATGAGTGAAGTAAAAGAAGCTAAAACGACCATTGCTAACTAGGATTGCGTCCTATAATCAACACAGCTCTAATACCAATCTGTCACACCCAATTTTAAGGATAAAATGGGATGCAAAACCTTATGTGCGCCCAGAGATCAGGCACACACATAATCCGATAAATTATGAATAGTATCATCACAAGTGTTTATTACATCACGAATAAGACAGAGTCTACACATAAATGAAGCGGAAGTATAAAGAAAAGATCTCTCGTGGAAGCTCTTTATCACATTGACGTCAACTGGTTGACCACAAGACTAGTAATCCTCAGGAAAATCATCGTTACCATAACCATCTGTTACCCATCTAGGATTTTTATCCAAATAATGAAAATAAACAAGCGTAAGTACATGTCATACTGAACAAGTGTAACATAGGGTTCACGAAGCTCAAAAGACTTGACAAAGGTTTAACAGCATTCAACTTTTAGCTGTCACAATTTTAGCTTAAGAGTAGCAACAAGTTGTTTCAATTCCCAACGCAAAACATATGATCAATGTAAACATGAATAATGAATAGCATAAACAGATAATTCTTAGTGTTCATCTATTCCGTAAATGTTCCAAGGCCGCTTGTGACCGTGAGCACGGCTGATATAAAAGTTTTATACTCTGCATAGGTTGTACACTTTCACTGTGAGTCGTGATACCCATATGCACAGGTTAATTGCTCCCAAAACACTTCCAAGGTGAGAAGGCAGGGGTCACTATGAAGCCTTCCAAAGGTTCGTCTAACAAGTTAGGGCCATTAGATTCACTCGGCAAACAGTTATAGGAACCCCCTTGTCGAATGGCACAATTCCCTTATGGCTATACATATAAGAGTAGAGGTTGTCCTATACCCGATTCATCAAGCCATTCTTAGGCCAATAAAGGTAACCACTAACAAGCTAGAAAAGGTCCTCATACTGAGCTAAAGCCAGAGCCATGTAGCCCTCACAGCTGTACTGTAAGTCCTGGATGATCACTTATAGATAAGTCCTTAGAGAAAGGAATCTAAAGCATTTAGAAAGTAGCTAAACACTCCAGCCCCCTGTTTGCAAGTTCCTAAAAGGTCATATTTTAATGTTTATTGCATATACCGTTAGTTATGTTACAAGATCATGGTTTAACTGAGCTCTAGCAAAGCTACCCAATGCATATCCTGTAGGTGACAAGGTATAAGTTCAATTCTAGAGAATTTCTATCAAGGCGACACATGCAACATAAATTTAATGTATTAAAGTAAATAGGAAACAAGGATGATCCCATGCTATACTTACCTTGAGCAAAGTACTCCTACTGATCCTACTCGTCAAAATAGTACCCTTGATCTCCCACGAATTGCTCACCGTCTATACTCGATAATCACAGCAACATACAAGCATCCAGGAGCAATCATGCATAACAAACAAAAGCTATAGATTAGAATAGTACACCAACAGCATAAAATCAAGATGAAATTTTTGGAAAACGAATCTACGTCTCGCTACGAACACACATACGCGAAGATCACAAAAATCGGAGCTAAAACGAAGAAGTTATGAATTAAACTAGATTTCCTATAGTAAAATAATAGATTAAATCTAACCTTGAATTTTAAAAGTTTAAAACATGCTTAACAGTAGTATGAACATGTAGTTTATAAAATTACGAACCTAACGCAAGTTGAACGGATCAAATCGGAGTTAAAACGAGAAAGTAATGGCCTAAACAAACCTAGTGGCAAAACTGTAAATAGCTGAAAACGTATTTTAGATCTAACCGAAACAAAGTATGCTTTCAAAAGAAGAAAACAAAATCGAAAAAGACGTTTTGGACTGCGGGTGAAGAACCAAATACTTGTAAGGTGGTTTTTGCAAAATTGTCAGCAAAGGGGTATCCTTCATCTTTGGCCGTCGGATTAGATTTGGATGGCCGTGATTGGATCGGGCGGGTGAGATCGGCCGGCGGCAAGGTAAATGGCGGCGGCGCCATGGCCGGACAAAGGGAGCTCACTGGCGACGTTGGTTAAGAGGATACAGTGCTCGGTTTTTTGAACGGAAAAGTCCGGGAGAGAGAGCAGAGGGTGGGGAACTCACCGAAATCGAGAGAAGCGAGCGGGAAGCGACGACGGCTGCGCGGCGCTCGGCGAAGCAGATGGCAACGGCAGCAGTTAGGGCTAGGCGGGTGCGAGCTCACGCGGGGACAAAAATCTTGCTGCAAGGTGGGATAGGGAGGCGGCGTAGGCTCGGGCGACTATTTAAGAGGCGCGGGGACTTGGGCGGTATGGCACCGTGGCATAGAGGAAGCGGACACGGACGACATTGGCGTAGTCTCCGACTGGGAGACGACGCGAGGGAGAGGATAACCCTGACCGGTGGGCCAGGGCGGTCAGCGGGACAGAGGGAGGAACGCGGGCGCGGGCGACTGCGCAACTGGACCGCCTGCTCGCTGGGCCATGCAGGGAAGGAGGACATGCGAGCGTAGGCCCAAGCGGGAAAGAAAAACAGGCCGTAGGCGCGGAGAAAAGGAGAGGTAGGCCGACCTGGGCTTCGGCCCGTGCGGGAGCAGGCCTACAGGCCAGAAGCGGGGAAAGGGGAAAGGAGGGAAATTCATTTTTTTTTCAAACCATTTTCCAAACCAATTTGAATGCAAATTCAAATCATTTTGAACGGTAATTTCAAACCACACAACACAAGAAAACAATATGTAGCAGCATGAATGCACATACATGATTGTAGCCTTATATTTGATTTTATTTTTAATAAAATTATTATTTTCCTAAATTCAAATGCCCACAAAATGCATAATAAAATCAAATTCTCCTATTTTAAAATTTATGCAAATTTTAGGGTGTTACAAACAATATATCTAGAAAGCTCATAATTTAGAACCAAGTAGTTCACCTTTCCCTTGCCGAAGGAATTTCTGACTTGCTGTCGCCAAGCATATATAGAAGTAGAGAAGCGTTTCTTGACCATAAAGAGGTCTTCCCACGTCGGCAATATAGTAGGTAGTTGTGTCCACTTAACCTTCACGTTTAGCATAGAGAACGTTATCTTTGTGGATGCGACTGAGACTCAAGACTGGTTCAGTGTCCACTAGCAATGTGTCGGGGTCGACCACTAGTCGTAATTTAGAAAATACCAAAGAATAGTATGGTATAGATGGCTTGAGCTATGAAATATGGAAGATAGGATAAATTAGACTGACTTATATATAGAAGGTCGATCTTGTATGCGGCCGATCAAATCTCCTAGACTCTGTGCGGCTGTTCTGGGAAAATTGGCTTAGCAGGTTGTCATTTATAAATTGCACAAATTGGACCTTACCATTACATTCCTGTCATCAAGACGATTGAAACATACATATAGAAAGCTAAATTTGGAGTTTGGATAAGCAAATTATGCCTTTGGAAAGATCCACCCGGTGAGTTAGAATAGTATTTCTGCACGTGTTTTGTAGGAGTTTAGACGCTAACGGGATAGTCTACCCACCATATCAATGGTTATTAAAGTATATAAAATTGATGGGTAGATCTTTCTAGTTTTGTGAGAACTTCATAGCTTTTCTAGCACATCTCATGAGAATTAACATGCAGATTACATTGTGGGTCTTTGATTATAATTTTTAAGATTTGTTATATTTTTTAGCATTATATATATTTATTTAAACGCTTCTCCTATTACTCATGTGTCTGATTTTTTGTTGTTGTTCATGAGTTGTCCTTTTAATTGTATTAGTCCTGAAAATTTCAAAAAATTCGTACACCTCAAATGAAGCAACTCCCTTATTTAAAACCTAATCTTAAGGTTTATAAGCTCTTGTTGCGTTCTTTTTGAGACATCATGAATCTATATTTTAGATTTCAACTTTTGATCTTACTAGGCGTTGCAATTTATTTATCCACAGTTAAACTGAAACTCTAACTGACCATTGTATATTTTTTCAAATATTTATTTTAATAAAGTAAGATTCAAGGTCCTAGGCTACACTTAAAGTTACGAACATGACAAAACAATGTTTTCAATCTACATTGCAGCACTTAAGATGTTGAAATTGATATAAAGTATAGAGTGCTTCAAATTAAATTATTAGTATCGATATGACCTAATGTTTTAATAAAATTTTATAAGCTTGTTTAAAATAACTTGAAAATTTATGTCATAGTATATTTAGATAATTTAAAGTGATCTGCAAGTGCCATTGATATGTGTTTTGTTAATAGAACAATTTTCAAGCTTGAGAAGCTAATAAAATAAATATTTATCCTAATGTATGCAAGTTACTTGGTGTACATTAGTAGCACTAGCACATAACAGTACGCTAATTTAACGGAGGTAAAGTGTGTGGTTTATGATTCTAGGATTATTCCAAATAGTAGTTTTTTTAGTATTTATGTGTAGATTTGAGGATACTTTAGCTTGTTTTTCTCATAATTATAGTCATAGATGTGGACAATTTAGATGTAAAATAACATGTTAATTTATATTATCTTTAAAATGGCATATGTGTTATTTTAAATGCAAACTTACAGTTTAATATAAGTTATTTTTTGTAATATTAGAGTGAGTACTTTGTATACAAATTTTGTCTATTATTTGAGGTTAAATTTTATAATGTTGGAAGTGGGTAATTTATACAAAAAGTTAGGGGGTTTTTTAAATATATTTTGTAATGGCAGATGTTATTAATTTAGGTTCAAATGTGGCGGTTATATTAAATTATCTTTCATAATGACATAGGCGAATAATTTTAATGCAAATTTAGGAGTTACTTTTATAATTTCTTTATAATAGCAGCGGTGGGTGATTTTTAAGACAGAATAGATCCAATGGTTGTTATTGGATATAAGAATGTATCAAATAAAGGGCAGAAGTTTACTGTGGGAATTTCTGCGTATCAATGTAATGATTTCTTAGAAGCTTACTTGTAATAGTAAGATAAGATTGACAAACGTGACCCTTGTATGTACTTTCAATGCAGACTTATGAAGGAGCATATCGTGAAAAACAAGACACATTGTTCACAATGCACGACCTGGTGCATGACTTGGCAGTTTTACTCCTTGGCGATGAAATTATGGATCAGAGGCAGCAAGGCAATACTTTGTCAAGCAGCTGCCGATATGCGTTGCTCACTGATTCTAGCAAACCACTGGAGTTATGCTTGCCATCTTGTGCAAGGCTAACAGCACTCCGTTTTATTGACTGCCGCAGAACTGAACTGTGTGGTGCTGCATTTGCACCTGCTAACTTCCTGCGAGTATTGGATTTAAGGGAGTGCCATATACAGAAATTACCAGAATCTATTGGTAAGTTACAGCAGTTGAGCTATCTAAAGGCTCCTGAAATCCAAGATCAATTGATACCCGATTGTATCACCCTGCTCTCAAAATTAAATTACCTTTACATTAGTGGATCTGAGATCTCAGCACTTCCAGAGTCAATTGGAGAAATGGCAGGTCTTGTGCATCTCGATATATCTTTATGTTCAGAAATAGAACAATTACCATTGTCCTTCAGGAATTTGGAAAATTTGGTGCATCTGGATTTGTCACACTGTTCACTTATCACTGGTGTATCAGAATCACTGGGAAGCCTCAGGCGACTGCAACATTTGGACCTGAGATGGTGCACAAGTATTGGAGAAGAGCTACCAGGAGCATTGGGCAGCCTCACAGAACTGCAATATTTGAACTTATCACACTGCTCTTACCTTGAAGTTCCTGACGCTGAGGTCTTGGGCAATCTAAACAAACTCAAGTATTTGAACCTATCTTCAGCATCATCACCGCTGAGAAGACTTCCAGAATCTTTGGGGAGCTTCACTGAACTGGAGTATTTGAACTTATCAGGCTGTCGACAACTAGAAGAGTTGCCAGCATCATTTGGGAAGCTCTGTAGTCTGGTGCATCTTAATTTGTCAGATTGTTTTTGTCTCAATAATATATGGGATGCTTTGAGGGACCTTACCAAACTGCAGTGTCTGAATTTACGTCAATGTTCTATTGATGTGTTTAGACAAAGGCAACACGTGAGCTCCAAATTCTTACAGCAAGCCATGAACAAGCTCATAGAACTACGCTTTTAAAATTTATCAAATTCGGTGTATTTCTGTGGAGGCCAGTCAGTAAGCGAGAGTTTCCTGGAGTGGATCAGTAACCTCACCAATCTAGAGCATCTCGATTTGTCCCTTAATATTTACTTTCACACTGTACCTGATGCGTTTGTTAAGCTCAAGAAGCTGCATACACTAGACCTCTCGTATTGCAGCTACCTACTGTGGCTGCCCAGAAGTATATCTGAAAATGACAGCCTAAAGTTTCTAAATACCATGGGCTGCGATGAGTTGGATAAGTCCACGTTACCTCAATTCAACAGCAGCTCAGTTCTATTACCACACTTTGTGGTCCGTACTGGTGATGGCGAACATAGCAGCAATCTTGTTCTGCTCAAAGATGAGGACCCCACTGTCTTGGAGATCAGCAGTCTTGAAAATGTGAAGTCCGTTGAGGAGGCGAAAACGGTTAAACTATTGGAGAAACGAATGATCTATGATCTGAAATTTGAGTGGACTAGAGATGCAAAGAGATTTGTGGAGGACATAGAAGTGCTCACGGAACTAGTGCCCCCAGGTAATTTACAATCATTTTGTCTACAAGGTTATAATAGCTTAACATTTCCGTCCTGGATGATGGGCATTACAAGCTATTTACCTCAACTAAGTTATGTTTCACTAAAGGAGCTTCCCTGGTGCAGCGCCCTACCACCACTCGGTCAGTTGCCAAACCTAAGATGTCTGGTAATCAAACAAATGCACAGTATCAGAGAGATTGGCGGGGATTTGTATGGCGGCACAAGAGCGTTTCAGGCACTGATGCAATTTTATCTAGAGCAGATGGATAACCTACAAGAGTGGAACACGATAGGCTACAGTGATGAGGATGGCGGAAATGTGCTCATGTTGCCCGTGCTCCGGGAATTGACTATAATAAGGCAGTGCCCCCTTTTGCGTTTCAAACCATGCCCCCCTATAGGTGGAGACAGCTGGCACATTGGAAGTAGTGATAATGCAATATCGTTAGGGGGAGAGAGCGTGCACGTTGAAGCTTCCTTCTCCTCCAATGTACTCCATCAGTGTAGATTAGTTCTTCACCTCCCAGCCCTCGAAATATTATGGATCGAGAACTACAGTGACATGACATCTAGCTCACTGGATATCCTTCGAGGTCTCTCTTCCCTCGAGACATTAGTGAAACTTCATATATCTAACTGCCCAGGAATCAAGAGACTGCCTGAGAGCATAAAACAATTCACCAACCTCCAAACACTAAATATTTCAGACTGCCCCGAACTAGTTCAGTGGTGTGAATCAGATGAGAAGATTATGAAGCTTTTGCGTACATCGAAGTAATGTATGTCGACCCTGCAAAGCTATCCATTGTAATTCTAATTTGTTCCCTCATATTTGCACTAACTACTTTGTCATCACACAGTACATGATCTTTATTAACTGTTTTCATATTATACTATGGGATGGGATCCATTGGTGTTTGGGGTAACCATAGAGGATTTCACTTGCAGGAATTTGCATACTTTTGTACTATTTTACCATCTTTTTCCTTAAAGGATGTTGCAATGGATTATTGTACGCACGTATGTGAAAGCAATAATAATGTTAGTTTCATTTGGCAAGAATGCAAGTATAGGAGTTTTCTCATTAGCAAATTACATGAACCTCTGGATTTTTATTTTTTATTGTAGTTTACGAATGTCCACATATCAGTCACTTTTCAACACAGCAGAAAGAAGACAGAGATGTGTCTTCTTACTGTTAAATACGTGATTAACCATCCCAGTAAAATCAGGGAAAAAGAATAACTCAAACGTAGGCACGTAGCCATTGTGCAGCACAAGTGAAAGGTCCAGTTGCTTTTCGGCTTATTTTCTTCCAAGGAAATAAATGGTCACATCCATCAATTATGGTCAGATGAGGAATCAGGTAGTCATCTGCAGACACAGAGCGACAAAGCGGTGGACCAACATCTACGGGAAAAAATCCAAAGGTATTAATCTTATAAGTATCTAATCCTCCTTATAGTTCCAAAATTTTATTAGTAGTGATAACTCAAAAACATTTTGTTCTAAAATTATTAGTAGTGATGATGATGGTGCAATGTGCTCGTGTTGCCCAGGCTCACTAAATTGGTTATACAACATGTTATACGCGACGCCAAGCCATCAAGGATGTCAATGCGGTGCGCACCCTAGAAGGTGTCGAGGATGGCTTGGTTCGCCATCAGGTGCACAGAGGCAGAAGGGAGACATCTGGTTAAACGCAAGAAGGCGCCATATGATGCAGGCCACATCACGGTGGAGTCGTCGGCCACCAATCCGTGGGAGATGCAGCCCGCGGTGGCCATAGCGCGTCTGCCAGAGTGCGAGCACGCGTACAATTTGGTAGGGGAGCCAGGCGGCGTCCGCACTTGGTGACACCACGGAAATAAAGGAGCCCTACAATGCTCTTGTGGCCTGGAGGTCCCCATGCTATATCATGATTTGAAGAAGTGGTATTACTGGCATACATGGGCAGAAGACAAGAAAGAGATATAAATGAATATGTGGCTTTCTTTGATACTTGCTAAAGAGTTAGGGCAGAAGGCTAATTGTTTGATACTGAAGAAGCTGGGAGCCGATGGAAATTGTGCTGAAGAGTTCAAGTTGGAACGACCGTTGGGGGTCGTGACACTGGTGCTGAATGTAGATGGCGATCTTTTGGATAGCCACTATTTGCTAAACATGTTAATCGAATCAATGATCCAGATTCTGATTAGACCGAAGGCTTCGACCCTGCTTATATTGAAAGCAAACGGTACTGCTGGGGATACCAGCTTACAATGGCAGTTTTTAAGATCCAACATTACAATTGGTCCTAGCACCTCTCTGTTATTCTTATAGGATCACTAGGAGTAGATCTAGCCAGGTGCTTGATGAAACAAAGACCTAGAACATGTTCTAGTGCTACGATAGAGAGACAGAGAGAGGTGGATGAGGTCTGACGAACCTGACACCGCAGAGGGGGTAGATCCAGAGGCCTCCATCGGGTTCGTCGGGGTAGTCTGCGCACGGGCAGCGACGGTCGGTGAAGACGGGTCGGAGATGTGGTGCCGGCGATGAAGTTCGACGGCGGCGCAGTGCAGTGGTGGAGGTACTTCTCGTCACTGGCTGCGCCCCTCACTTAGATCGGGTTTAGGGTTTGGATGTCGGTGGGGAGCTCGGCTCGGGTCAACCTCATGATAAGAGCCGCTGGCCCCCACCTCTTTTTATAGCGCAGGGTGACAGGGGCCCTCCAGCCATGGTGGGCTGGACGCCCTCGATCAGGGCGCGAATCAAAGACCCAACTGGGCCGTTGGGTCCAGTTAGGTTAGAGATCAATCTAACAATCTCTCCCTTGATTTCTTTCCATCTTTCACTTTCATATCATTTACTTTTGTTCATTCTATTACAGATTAGCACATAGAGCATGTCTCATCGTCACGATCCATTACCGATAGATTTAACAGCTACAACACACTACTCTGTTCTGAAATAGATTGTGGCAGAACCTCCTAAGTTATAGGGCATAGTAAGATTACTACTCCACCACACAAAACCTTTTTAATAAAATACGGAATGGTGAGAAAGAAATAAGATAAGTTAGAAGCAATTTGGACCAAACTATCAAGTTAAATTTAGTCATCCCAAATCATTTTGAAGTTTTTGTAAAACAATACAACAAAAACCTTGTAACGATCGCTCCGATACCATTCTGTGGCAGAACCTCCTAAGTTATAGGGCCCACATGCATCTGTCACTGTCCGACGACCTTTGACATTTATACATATGTTTCCATTAACTTAAAAAGACTATCGGGTGTCCTTGGAGAACCCCGAATCATCCACTATTTCCGAGTAGGATCACGTTACAGAGTCATTGCAGTATTACAACATTTATTCAATTATCAATACCAGAGTAAAAACAGCGGAAGTCTTACAATAACATAATTTACAAAACAGTAGTTTCAAACCTCGCAACTAGGTTCGATGTTTATTACAAAATGAAATAGTGGAGTGGCATTATAATATAATACAAAACACACAATGAAACCGCCTCGCCTAAGGACCACACATTTACTTCTCAACGTCATCACAAGGAACAACCAGTCATGCAAAGACGATCCAAAAACAGATCTGCTCATGAGGCTCACACAACAAAGGGGTCAACGAACCACAGTACAAAAGTACTCAACAAGACTTAACCGAAATAAAACTGATAGAACTCAGGAATGCCGGCTCATGGGATTCATGGTATGGCTTTAACAATAATCAAAGTTCTTTTGCGTAAAAGCTCTTTAACAAAATTCATTAATTCAAAGGTAAAACTCTATAAGTACCTCATATGAATCTTGCCATGATCCGTAATGAGATCATGAACTTCATATCAATCTCTTTCGCAAACCTTTCTCAAGTTCCAGTGATTAATACTACGATGATGAACAGTGAGTTGAGTCTCCATAACCGAGGAGCAACGACGATTCGAACCGATTAATCCCAGCTGGGAATTCTAGACCACATGACATATGCAGGTCCCCGACCTACATATACCAACCTGCACTCAGATCCTCTAAAACAAGAACGGGTCCACGCCACCCGAGAATACAGTACTCCACCAATCCAGCCCATTGCCACGTGGGTACACGCTATTCTCGCCATCTCTCCACTCCCAGTGCGCGAGTAGCCATTCTCATAATAGAATAGCCGAGTAAAGGCTTACCGGAGTATGTGGTTAGTACTACAAATTCTCACCTCATGCAATTCAACAACGGACGTGCCTTAATCGACACAGGCGGAAAGAACCCGCTCACAAGACCTCCATGTCTTGTGGCTCACACACACCGAGTCCGCCCGGTCTAGATTTATTACTCCACATTCCCATATCACATGATAACATAAGTAACCAAGGTTCCATTTAACTTGCAGGTGGCAAGTAATCACCCGACTTTCATCGTTCTAAGCATAGCTAAGTAAAACTAGGCATATACGAATTTAAAACTAGTAATATGGTAAATATGGAATAACAAGTTTGGTAATGTACCAATTTGACTTGTACTTGACTCCTAATCACTTAATGCAGTAAAAAGAAGCAAAAGCGAAATCAATTTGTAAAATATAAGGTAGGGTTGTATGCATCCGGGGCTTGCCTTCGTTGACGGAAAAGTCTGGTTCCTGCGACGTTTCACAAGTATTCGATCCGACCTCAACAGACGGATTAACCTCCTCCACAACTTGATTAACTACCACGTGTTCACCTTCGTTCACTACATGTAGTAACAATGCCATGTTTAACATGATGCGGAATACGAAACGTGATGCTCGATGATGGATGCAAAAATTAACAATTTGAATACAACTTTCCTTCGCGATACAGTTGCAAGTCAAACAAGCCAAATCTTTTTCGTAACACATACATCAACTGCCAAGGATCATTATCAACAAATGACCCAAGGTCATCACTCAATCCAAAATTTCAAACAAAACCTAAATCATTAAAGGTTACTATTTGCTTTTATGAATTAATTATTTAATTCAAAATTATGAAATAAATCAACTTATTCTGATTGAGCTCAAAATTTTTGTAAATGTTCATTACATAATAAGTAAGTGGCAAACCAAATTTCATAATTTTTGGACAATTAAATAAGCCTAGAAAAATCATGGAAATCCATTTATTAATAAATTGAGCAATTTTTATCACATTCAAAAAGTACTGAAAAACATTATTTCATATTTTTCTTAAATACTATACATCATATAGAAGTTACACAAAAATTTTCATGATTTTTGGAGCTCTAAATAAATCTACACAAAAATAACAAAAACAGACACTATTCATTCAAATCTGAAAATAGAAAAATTCCATTTGAACGTTGAGTCACTGACAACCCGACCCCACCTGTCATCCTTAACCTCGCGCGTTTGACCACACCGGCGACTACGCTGACCGACGATATCTCGCCGACGGCGAGACCAACGACGACGGCCAAAGCACCAAAACACTCCCCACACTACCCCGCATCGATTGACGGCACAACCTTGAGCAATTACAGCGAGGCACAAGCTTAACGTCGACCATGGCGGACGTGGTGGCACTACCAGGTATACTACGCCGGACGACAGAGCACGGTAGAGGTTAAACACGTAGCATAGAAGGGTTCAGCACCTCTCCCGAACACGACTGAGCAACGAGCAGGGTCGGAGGAGCAACGGAGAGGTGGGTCGATGTTCCGAGCAAGCACGGCGGAGCAGATCGTCGTCGGTGGCGATGTTTCGGGAGCTGTGGTGGTCAAAATGAGAAAACAATGGGTCATGAAGTACT